GGGGTGGACTCAGTTGGGAAGAGCAGGGCAGGGAGGCCAGGGTTCGCTATTCCCCTAGCAGGCCAATGACACCGTCCTTAGTGACAGGCAACAGGGTGCTTGATCGCCTCCCGACCGGTCATTTCTTTTTAAGGAAAACTTCGTATGTGGGAAAACACACTTAGCCAGGTGATAAGAGCAGGCCCGTTAAGTGGGTCCCAGCGTTGAAGACTCCTTCTATTGGTGGGGAGCTACACCTGCTGGAAATCGGGTCCACCGTCCCTGTACAATGATGTGTGTCTGCTGGAAATTGGGTCCAGGATCCCTATCCAATGATGTGCGAAGATGTCACACTGTGCATCCAATACTGTGTAAATGTGTTCGTAAAATCTGTATATGTCGTATGGAGCTAGGGTGGGGGGCTAAGACGCTCCCACCTTCCCTTCTATGTGAAGATGCACCCCTGACCATTCTGCAGCACGGCGAGGCGCAAAGACAGCAAGGCCTATTACAGAGTTAATTTTAAATGTTTTTCAAGGAAACCACAAGCATCTCCGTTGTCGTCTAGTCTGGTTAGGATATCTGGTTTTCACCCAGACGACCCGGGTTCGAATCCCGGCAACGGAATCCTTTTCTGCACTTCAATCTCTACCTACTAGCCAAATGAATGTCAGATCATCTCACCAACTCCTACATGCATGACGGTTCTTTTCTCCTTTTTCCCATTTCAGAAGAAGATTTCAGTCTTGATATAGACACAAAACCAATTCCCACCCAGCCCCTGCAAGCATCAGCTGGGGGGGGGGGGCATTGGTTTTGTATCTTTCCCAAGAGTTTTAAGAGAAGAATTGTAGTATAGTTTTAATTACAAAAAAAAAATCCCACCCAGCCCATGTGGCTGCATAATACATCCATGAACTGTTGAAAAAGAGAGACCTGAGTTCGGTTCCTGATGGAATCAGATTAAATTGATGAATGCAATTACTCCCAATTACCTCGGGCCAGACACTTTAATAATGATACCTGGTAGCTTGCTGCTTTTTTTCTTCTTCTTTTTTTTCTGATGGCTGAGACTGCACTAGCACAGATTTCAGAGATAACGACCATCTCAAACAAAACGAAGAAGATGAAGAAGAAGAAGAAGAAGAAGAAGAAGAAGAAGAAATATGCGGCCCGTCCATTCATGCTGGTGGCATCTATACCCAGCCCACCCTCCACCACTTGTCAAAAGTGAGATACTGTGAGAAAGGTAAGCGGGAAAAAAAAAAAAAAAAAAAAAAGGAGCTGCGAGGATCTGGGTCCTCGGCAGGCCTAA